TTATACAAATAATACGTAATTAATAATACAATGTATTATATGAAATAATTTGTAATAACATTAATAATATAATATATTATTTAAAATAATACGTAATAGTACTGATAACATAACAAATTAATTCTAGAAAATTTTTACTGCACGAAATAAATTTATAAATATTAAAACCATTTAAATAATTATAAAATCAGATTTTTAAATCATAGAAAATTGTAGAAAATCAAGAAAAATACAAATACTCTTTTAAAAATCATATAATCAAAGATAAACAAATTAGTTTCAGAGTAGTTAAAGAAGCCTTATAATTGATAGAATTGACTCATTAATTTCTAATGACTAGCACTTAATTGATCAAAATTGACTAAGTGATCCCTAATTTGATAGAAAAACTTGTTAAAGATTCACAGACAAATATGAAATCATAGTAGAACTCAAAATTATTGTTGCTATTTGTATTAGTGAAGACAAACAACCCTGAATTCGTCGATAAGTTCTGGTATGATAAGTTCTGGTATTATAGTAGGGGGGAGGCAGCTGAGAGGGTTTGGGTTTGATTGGATTAGGGTTTAAGTTTAGATATTTATGTCTTTCATATTTTAATTTTAGCCCCTTAAAATTTTATATATTTCAAATTAGTTTCCGAAATCTCATAGAAATTGCTATTTCAACCCTAAAATCTAACTATTCTTATCAATTTTTCTTTTACATCCTCTTATTTAGAGTTAATGATTAGATTATTTCAAAATTAATCCCTCAAATCTTCAATATTTCAAAATTAGTCCGATTGGCTATCTTCAATATTTCAAAATTACTCACTCAAATCATGGAAATTTCTATTACATCCCTCAAATCATCACAATATTTACTATTAGGTCCCCTGGTTAACACCGGTTATATTTAAAGAAATATTATTTTAAATCTAACTATTATTACTAGTTTTTCTTGACTTTTAATTATAAAAAGTTAACCCGTTTGGACCTAGTTGATAAGTTCTGGTATGATAAGTTCTGGTATGATAAGTTAACCCGTTTCAAAATTAGTCCGATTGGCTATCTTCAATATTTTAAAATTACTCACTCAAATCATGGAAAATTCTATTACATCCCTCAAATTATCACAATATTTACTATTAGGTCCCCTGGTTAACATCGGTTATATTTAAAGAAATATTCTTTTAAATCTAACTATTATTACTAGTTTCCCTTGACTTTTAATTATAAAAAGTTAACCTGTTTGGACCTAGTTGATAAGTTCTGGTATGATAAGTTCTGGTATGATAAGTTAACCCGTTTTAAAATTAGTCCGATTGGCAAGCATCAATATTTCTACATCCCTCAAATCATCATAATATTTACTATTAGGTCCACTGGTTAACACCGGTTATATTTAAAGAAATATTCTTTTAAATCTAACTATTATTACTAGTTTTCCTTGACTTTTAATTATAAAAAGTTAACCCGTTTGGACCTAGTTGATAAGTTCTGGTATGATAAGTTCTGGTATGATAAGTTAACCCGTTTCAAAATTAGTCCGATTGGCTATTAATATCAAAATTTCACGGTCATTACAAGTCTGATTGGCTATCTTTAATATTTCAAAATTACTCACTCAAATCATGGAAATTTCTATTACATCCCTCAAATCATCACAATATTTACTATTAGGTCCCCTCGTTAACACCGGTTATATTTAAAGAAATATTCTTTTAAATCTAACTATTATTACTAGTTTTCCTTGACTTTTAATTTATGTATAACAAACCATATTGTTAATTATTACAGTATTAGTATCGGGGTAGAATACCTAGGAATAACTTCATATCGGAAACTTGCATCAAACATCCATTCATTTATTAACGAGAAAACTACTAGATTCGTTCTCCAAGCAAATTCAAATTCAGGAAGCATATATCACTTCTCCCTGAAGAAGGGACATGCCTCCAGCGACAAAGTTACGACTACAGCCTCCTCGACGACGACGCTAGAGGGGAGCAGGGGGCCTTTGAGAAGGCCACCAAACAACTTTCCTGGATCATAGTAGACTTCCACGTCCTCAGCTCTCAAGCTATCATCTACCTGCGTGGAACAAAATAGTATTGGACTACATTTAAAATATTATAGATTTGAGGGACTAATATTAAAATAATTCTTAATTTTTTGTAGGGCCACTCATTAACAATGGGATAATCAATCACTAATGTTAATTTTTTACGATGGCGACGGACATTGACGACAGATTTGATTCGTCGCCAATAAGTATTGGCGACGTATTCGAATCCGTCGCCAATAAGTATTAGCAATGAAACATTGGCGACGGATCGAATCCGTCACCAATACTTATTGGCGACAAATTCGAATCCGTCGCCAATAC